GGCATGTTGTACCAATATCTTGATTAAGATCTTAAGAGATTAAATCTCGCTCTCAAGATCTTGAAATTTTTGTTGATAAGATCTTAGCCAAGATCTGATTTCTTGTTGTTTCTTGATGAAAATCTTGTGACAGTTATTTTCTTTACAATGGATCGACAGACATATTGTTAGGCAGAGTTTAAGTGTAAAAATCTGATATTACGATTTTCAATGATACACCTTTAGAAAATTATAAGGATACTTCCGCACAGTCTAAACATGACTGAAAGTCGAGAACATCTACCCATATTCATACGATAATGCTTGTAAAACTATATAATGGCCTCTAGTCGTCCTTTGAAAAAGTTAGTTCGAACATAATTTTTCCGCCGTATACTTTTCTAATTTATTGAGTACATATAAGTTGCATGTATCCTGACTGTTAAATTTTTTTGTCTCAAGACCCAGACGGGTTTTTGTTAAGGATTTTAGACGATGCTCTCTCAAACGGTCTCTTCACAAAAAAAACTTTTTTTTTCTCTAACTACTATTTCTTGCACTACGTTTTCACACTGCTTAATTTGCACTAAAAACAGTTTTGAGTAAAAGAACCTTTTAAGGGCGGTAAGTGGCGGAGAAATGTCAGAACTACATTTTGAAAAGAAATTTCATCTTATATCTTACTTCGTTAATTTTAAATTAAATTTTAAAAAAGCTTTTCAGTTCTACATTTGAAAGTATTATTTTATAAGATGCACGGAAATCAAAGTTGCAGTGAAATTTTTTTCTTGCTTATCATACACCATTCGATAGAAAATTTCAAGGCGGTCACGAATATGTGTGCCTTGAGTTTTCTCAACCCTTTTTTCCGGTTGAAAATTTGAAAAAACTCGGAAGGTGTCGAAAACAGCCAATTTGGCAACTTTTCTTAGATTCCTCTTTTTTTTAAATATGTTACGAGATGAAATCTTCTAAGTTAAAAGTTTCTAAGGTATGATTCATACCTTAGAAATAGTAGCATGTGATACAGGAACGGTTCCTGTATTGCACGATGCCAAAATACAATCAAGAGTAAATCCAGGTAAAAAGCAATCCAATTAGTTACAAGTAAAATACTTTGGTACTTGTCCGATTATTAAGACTACGCTATTCACTGTTTCGAACCTTTTCTTTTTATTTGTAGGACAACTGACTTCAAGTGGTTATTAATAATAAACAAACTTCTGTCATGCATGTCAGCAATTTAGCTTTAACGTTACCGAGTTGCACAACTCCAACTGAAGCGGCTCAGAAACGATTAATAACAGTATCTAGCAATTCAGATGAAATTAAGTCAAGGGAAGCGAAGTGCATCTTACAATGAGAATGCTATCATCACGCAATGTTCTCATAAACATTTGACTCTTGCCTTTTTTTAGCTTAATTTTCCAGTCATCAGTCTCCAAGATCAAACCTTGACCAAGCAAGAACCCCTTGGTATGCCTCGTATGAGCCACATCAAGGTGAATAACTCTTTTTTTAATCTAATGAATATATATTTCACATTTTTTCATTTTTAGAATATTTGTATTATTAAACCTGTTACTGCTTCTTCAGTATCCGTCCAATTATTAAACGGTCAAACTGGTTCAATACCACAAACCGATCAAGTTATTCAAAAAACGAAAATTGAAGGCACACCGCCTCTGATTGACTCACGAACTGTTTTTCAGTTATAACAGATGATATTCTTTTCGACAAACAGTCTACAGATTAATTTTTCATGTCTTTTTTGTTTTCAATTTAATCTATGAACAATCAGATATTTTATGTTTTTTTTATTATAAAGAAATATAACAATAGTTAAACAGATAATTGTAATTCCCAGATTTTTGATGATTCTTTGCATACCTTTCGATACAACTGCGATTATTTCAAGGGGGAAACAGCGGACTCCAGACTTCAACACGCCAACTGACTCCACTTGACTCCAAATGACTTCAATTGATTTTAACTGACTTCAACTGACTCCAGACAAGTCATATCTGACCGAGTCTATTGGCCTTTTTTTAAAAACTTGTCATTGTTGTATTCCCATGCTAGAACAAATGTCCTGTTATGAAATTCGATTCCCCAAAACAGAACAAATTTGCTTTTTCAAGGGCGTCAATTCCCATAACAGAACAAAAAATCTGCTGTTATAATGTTTTCCCGAAAATGGAAAACTTTTGTTCTGTTTTGAGAATTGGAACCTTTGATAGCGCAAAATGTTCCGTTTTTGGGAATAAACCATTAACGAGTTCATACTAGCTCACAGCTCAAGGGAGCTAGAACTCGTTGAAAAGCTAATGTCCTTCACAGTTGAAATAAGCCATCACATCCCCGGAGTCCATCAGACTCCATCGAATCTCACAGGATCTTTTATTTTACCTTCTGAGTACACCACATCAGGTGACTCTACTTGACTCCAAGTGACTTCACAAGACTGGGATCCCATCTAGTCTGCTATTTCTCTCGTGGGCTTCACCCTATCACCTGATTCCACCTCATCAATTACCTCCAACGCATCAAGTGCCTTCACTTGACTCCAAATGACTCCATGCGTCTGGAGTCCGCTGTTTCCCCCTTGGATTATTTTTACATATTTCGTTCTCATTTTAATGAATCAATTGATAATTTTATTCAGATTTTTTGTGTGTGTGGTATTCAGTTTGTGTTATTTACAAGTACAAATATATTCCTACATTGTGAAACAAGCTCCGGGACCAGTTCCTTAACTTAAGCCACGTATCGGTCTCACTTAAGTTTTCACTTGAACTTTTAAATAGAAAACTTTAATTTTTGTAACTTCTTTATTTGAAGTCCGTAGCCCATCATAATTAGACCGAGCATAATTTTGTCAGCGATTTTGTTAATTGCTGTAAAATAATCTAAGCTGTCTAAAATACGAATGGTTTTTACTGTGTGACCTCTGCTTGACTTACGCTCTGTTAAGAAACGCACTTCAGTGCGACTTAAATTTTGACTTAAGTTTCAACTAGATTGAAAAAGTTTTTTTAGAAATGTGCCCCTGTTCTTATCTGTTGTTGTTATGAATTCAAGTTAAACAACTAACTACAGAAATAAAACTTCACTTCTAGCAACATGGTCTAATTATGGACAAATGTATCTACAGTCATCAAGGTCTCGGTCTATAATAACAATGACTCAATTCAAATAACAACAAAAGGAAGCTTAAATAGAGAGATAAAAACAAATAAACAAAAAATTAAAAGAAAGTAACAGCACTGGGGGCCTTTTTTAAAACATTTATTGGCGTACTATGCTTTGTTCTATTGCATTTTCTTTCTGTATCATGGTCCCATCTAGTAAGCAACAACCCAGTTTTTAAGGCTACTCTGTGTTTCAACTACTTTATAATTCAGCTCATTGAATTATGCTTCTTACAGATAAAAAACTCGTGTATTTTGTTATAGGGAACTACTCGAGACTTAAGATATTGAATTGAAATCATAATGAGGCAGAATTACTGTAACAATGGCGGCCTTCATGTGTTATTTATCGGTCACTTATCTTGATCCACATTTTGTTATCTGTGGCAAAATTTTTATCAATCCTGCTTTTAGCCACTATTAGTGGCAGATATTTGTGGCTAAAAGCAGACAACAATTTGATTTATAATTTTTTTTTCTAAAAGAAAATAGAAATGGGTATGATATGAGAAGAAACAACATTCTGATTTTCAATTTGTTTTTCTGACTTTTTGTTTGTCTGATTTTCAACTTTTTTTTCTGATTTCCGTCTTTTGAATCTGGGATCTCTATAAGTGACCCACTTTTTACAGGTCATATATAGATGTGAGCCTTATCTATATTCAAACAAAAGAATGAAATTAACTGAGTAAACATTGTGTTGTGATTAGAACAAACAAAATTCTTTTGTATTAAATTATAGATGAAATATACGCGCGTGAAATTGGTTTTGTTTATTACTGAAACGTGAGACGTAGATGAACGATAGACATTTTTCTGCAAAACGGTTCAGTCTGTACGAGAAACTCTTCTGACATTCGTTACTAGACTAAAACTTTTATTCACGAAAAGTGTGAGTCATCAAAGGTCACCGACCTGTAATAACAATGACTCAAGCCAAACAACACCAAAAGAGTAAAAAAAGAACAGAATAAACAAGACAACTAACGTTAGGACCAGAAGTAGTAAAAAGGAAAAAAAGAAAGTAAAAAAGTTTTTTTAAAAAAAAATAAGAAAAAAAGAACAATATAAATTCATAAGTGACATGTTTCACTGGAAGAGATACTGAAGTAAAGCTGTTTTGAAAGACGTTAAAGAAGAAAGACAAATAACTGGCTCTGGGAGATTATTCCAATCAGCAATAGTTGAATAAAAAAAAACTCTAAATACAATCGAATAACGATTTGTAATACTTTTATTCTGTTTTCGTCATCATCCTCAGTTTATGTGCTTATGCATCGAAACTATATTCTGACAATATCGCTGAATACGTTAGTTTCTAGGTGCTATATCCAACACTGTCACTACGCGCAAATAGTTCAAGGAAATTGTTGATCTAATCGAAGGATCTGGTCGAAAGTGGAACACATTGCTGTTTTTTCCACACATTACTAAGAATGTAAAAATGTAAGTTTAGCTAGTTCAACTTGAAACTCACTCTAGAAATGCGTCACCCATCTCCCTTACACTTATGTTCTATATTTCTCAATTAAGGTTCGACATATAACTGGTACTCGATCTCAAAATAAAAGTGAGGGCGATTGATGTTTTGCGGTTCACGTGTCGGTGGTCCCTAAAAAAAGGAAAAAAGGAAAGGAAAGGAAAGGAATATTTTTATCATTGGTCAACCAATAAGTAGCAAGTGCAAGTAAAGCAAAGATGCATTTTAAGTGCATAAGTGCCCTAGTTATACTTGCTGCTTATTGGCTGACCAATGATAAAAATATTCCTTTCCTTTCCTTTTTTCCTTTTTTTAGGGACCACCCACGTGTCAATATTACCGATAAGGTAACGTTTGCCGTATGTGAAGAAAACATTCATGCTTGGACTGTCAGAGAATGTGTACCCGTAGATATTATCGCTAGGATCAGTTCGTTATTAGACCCAATCTAATGTCTTGTGAAGGAGGCGGAATGGCTGAGCTCTAATCCTCTGTGCGCCAAACAGAATCAAACCGCATTTGTTACTTCTGTGCATTTTTATTTTGAGATCTTCGCACAGTGAACATTGATTGAGCCTATACATCAAGAAAACCCTCAGATTTCATCATTTAACTTTGTGAGAGTAAAGTAGACAGGATTTGTGTCCCTATTCTCTCACTCACTGGAACTGCTGTGTACTTACTCTATAAATTAGTTATGTTTTTATTTAATTCTACTTTAAAAATATTAAAAAAGTAAATATAAAGTGTAAATAATTCGAATACACTCTAAAACACAGGACTTCTTTAGAAAATTGAAACTGTGTTTTTCATTTGTCCCAAATGGGGAACTGATATAAGTTTTCTAAAAATTGGCAAAGCTGGTTTTTTCATTTTTCGGAAGAACAGAAATTGAGTTTTTCATTTTTGTAGATCCCTATTTGGGACATTTGTTCTTCAGCAAACATCAGGTCGAAAAACACATTTCTATTTTTTAGTTTTTCGGAGAACATGTTCCTTGTGTTTGGTTCTCCTTTTGGATGTGTTATCATATTTTCTGAAAAAATCTTTTCCAAAGTGAATTATTGAATTTTATTTTCTGGATTCTGATAAAAATTATTCAGTAACTTGATCAGACGATAGATAGTATAACTGAAAAAATCAAGTGTTATGCTTAAAGATTTTTAGAATGATGTAATTTTGACATTGGACATTCTAGCAAAAGCCGAAATAACCAAATCCAGATCGTGCAGAGCTAGCGAAACAAAAGGTTGTTTTATCTAGAAAAGAAGTCTAGAAAGTTTTAAGAACCGATAGGTTTCATAAGAAGAACCATTCAAGGGCCAAGCAAGCCAGAAAATGATGGGTATTAGTTGCGTATTTATTCTCTGTGTCTGTACACATTCTGCCAATATCAAACTCAGAATATCCTCGTGATGAATCAGTCGAACAGATATATATTAATAGATTCACTCAAAACAGGGACGATATATATATAAGCTTTCACATTTTCAAACAACTCACACAAAAATCTATGTTTTCTAGTTAATGAAAAACAAAATTTCTGAAGAACTAAAATGAGCTGAAAAACTCATTTTCTGTTAAAAAACAGAAATTCACTTCTCCAAGTTTCAAAGAACTCAACGGAGTTCTTCACCCAGTTTTCTGAAAATTCGAAAAACACGGTTTTTTTAGAATGTATAATAAAAAAAATGGTCTCAAGACCATTGCAAGAAATAAGTGCCTTATATAACAGACACTTTTCTCGTCCCGTTTAAAATGAGAAGAATAAACGTAAATATTTTCAATCACACATGTGTCTGTGATATAAGTTATATACAGATAATAATGGGTATATAAATTCTTTCACGTTCATAAACGTTAGAAAGTATATAACCTAAATATATGTTGTAGCCAAAACTAAGATTTGACTGAATTCCAGTTTTGGCTACAACATATATATAGCAACAAATACACGTGTATCTTTCGCAAGAAGCCGTGTTTTTCTTATAACCGAAATCCAAATGACAATAGGATAAAAGCAAGAGGTATCCCACTTTCTTGTTTT